GTCCAGCTCTGGACTCCCCAGGTCAGGAAAGACAGGGAACTCCTGGAGGGCTACAAAGATGATCAAAGAACTGGAGCATCTCTCTGATGAGGAAAGGCTGAGAGACCTGGGGCTGTGTAGCCTGGAGAAAAGATGACTGAGGGGAGACCTCATCAATGCTTATTGATACTTAAAGGGTGGGTGTCAAGAGGATGGGACCAGACTCTTCAGTGGTGCCCAGTGACACGACAAGGGGCAATGGGAACAAACTGGAACACAGGTAATTCCCTCTCAACATGAGGAAAAAAATTCTTTCCTGTGAGGGTGGCAGAGCCCTGGAACAGGCTGCCCAGAGAGGGTCTGGAGCCTCCTTCTCTGGGGATATTTTAAACCCACCTGGATGTAGTTCCTGCCCAACCTGCTCCAGGTGACCCTGCTCTGGCAGACAGGTTGGACTTGATGATCTCTGAAGGTCCCTTCCAGCCCATACCTTTCTGTGATTACTTTTTAACTCAGCATGGGCACTTCTTGGGCTCAGTGCAATGAAAAGGAACCAGGGTTGATTCAATTCTTATCGGCCCTGTGGGGTAAATTTGCTTCGATGCTCCTCTGCTCCAGACAAGGTGAGGTGCAGCCTGTGTGTCCCCCCACCACGGCCATGCCCACAGCACTTCTGGGGCTCAGCAGAGGCTGGGTTGGGGGCTGCAGGCAGTTCTTCTTCATAGAGAGGGGGACAGGGGGGCAATATCAGGGCTGGGGCTGGCAGGAGAACTGCTGGGGCTGTGCTTGAGGAGCACAAGCAGAGGGGGCATGGCCACTGCAGCCGAGATAGGCCTCCAGGATGAATCCAGGGGCTGTGGGCTGCCTCTACCCCCCTGCGGGATGTGCTCTGGGATCCCTCTGGATTTGCACTGTGCTGCTCCCAATGTGCTGCAGGATGTCCCCCAGACCTGCTGAGGGATGTCCCCACCATGCTGTGGGATGTTGTCCACAGACCTTTGGAAGGATGTCCCCAGAATGATGTGGGATGTCGTGCCCCCCCCTCAAGACCTACTGTGGAATGCCCCCCAGACCTGCTGAGGGATGTCCCCCTAGATCTGCTGAGGGATGTACCCCTAGATCCGCTGCAGAATGTCCCCCAGACCTGCTGAGGGATGTCCCCACCATGCTGTGGGATGTCGCCCACAGACCTTCTGAAGGATGTCCCCAGAATGATGTGGGATGTCATGTCCCCCCCTCAAGCCCTGCTGAGGGATGTACCACTAGATGCACTGCAGAATGCCCCCCAGACCTGCTGAGGGATGTCCCCACCATGCCGTGGGGTGTCTCCCACAGACCTCTTGTGGGACATTCCCCGTACCTGCAGCAGGATGTCCCCCAGCCAGCTCTGGGATGTCCCCCTAGACCTGCAGCAGGATGTCCCCCAGCCAGCTCTGGGATGTCCCCCTAGACCTGCAGCAGGATGTCCCCCAGCCAGCTCTGGGATGTCCCCCTAGACCTGCAGCAGGATGTCCCCCAGCCAGCTCTGGGATGTCCCCCTAGACCTGCAGCAGGATGTCCCCCAGCCAGCTCTGGGATGTCCCCCTAGACCTGCAGCAGGATGTCCCCCAGCCAGCTCTGGGATGTCCCCCTAGACCTGCAGCAGGATGTCCCCCAGCCAGCTCTGGGATGTCCCCCTAGACCTGCAGCAGGATGTCCCCCAGCCAGCTCTGGGATGTCCCCCTAGACCTGCAGCAGGATGTCCCCCAGCCAGCTCTGGGATGTCCCCCTAGACCTGCAGCAGGATGTCCCCCAGCCAGCTCTGGGATGTCCCCCTAGACCTGCAGCAGGATGTCCCCCAGCCAGCTCTGGGATGTCCCCCTAGACCTGCAGCAGGATGTCCCCCAGCCAGCTCTGGGATGTCCCCCTAGACCTGCAGCAGGATGTCCCCCAGCCAGCTCTGGGATGTCCCCCTAGACCTGCAGCAGGATGTCCCCCAGCCAGCTCTGGGATGTCCCCCTAGACCTGCAGCAGGATGTCCCCCAGCCAGCTCTGGGATGTCCCCCTAGACCTGCAGCAGGATGTCCCCCAGCCAGCTCTGGGATGTCCCCCTAGACCTGCAGCAGGATGTCCCCCAGCCAGCTCTGGGATGTCCCCCTAGACCTGCAGCAGGATGTCCCCCAGCCAGCTCTGGGATGTCCCCCTAGACCTGCAGCAGGATGTCCCCCAGCCAGCTCTGGGATGTCCCCCTAGACCTGCAGCAGGATGTCCCCCAGCCAGCTCTGGGATGTCCCCCTAGACCTGCAGCAGGATGTCCCCCAGCCAGCTCTGGGATGTCCCCCTAGACCTGCAGCAGGATGTCCCCCAGCCAGCTCTGGGATGTCCCCCTAGACCTGCAGCAGGATGTCCCCCAGCCAGCTCTGGGATGTCCCCCTAGACCTGCAGCAGGATGTCCCCCAGCCAGCTCTGGGATGTCCCCCTAGACCTGCAGCAGGATGTCCCCCAGCCAGCTCTGGGATGTCCCCCTAGACCTGCAGCAGGATGTCCCCCAGCCAGCTCTGGGATGTCCCCCTAGACCTGCAGCAGGATGTCCCCCAGCCAGCTCTGGGATGTCCCCCTAGACCTGCAGCAGGATGTCCCCCAGCCAGCTCTGGGATGTCCCCCTAGACCTGCAGCAGGATGTCCCCCAGCCAGCTCTGGGATGTCCCCCTAGACCTGCAGCAGGATGTCCCCCAGCCAGCTCTGGGATGTCCCCCTAGACCTGCAGCAGGATGTCCCCCAGCCAGCTCTGGGATGTCCCCCTAGACCTGCAGCAGGATGTCCCCCAGCCAGCTCTGGGATGTCCCCCTAGACCTGCAGCAGGATGTCCCCCAGCCAGCTCTGGGATGTCCCCCTAGACCTGCAGCAGGATGTCCCCCGGGGGGCTGTCTGTGGGGAGGGAGAGCGGGACGGGGGGGTTTGGGTGATGCCAAGGGTACAGGGGAGGTCTCTCGGCCGTGCGAGGGGGTCTCTCCGGGGTGGGCAGTGTCGGGACTCGGGGTGTCTGGCCGGGATAAATGATGCCGGGACAGAGGGGTCTTGTGGAGGGTGCCCGGAGCCGGGGGGGTGTCTGTCTGGGGTAAGTGATAACCAGGACGGGGAGGGAAGAGCTGTGTCAGGGGATGGAGAGATGGCAGGGCTTGGGGGTCTGTCGGGGGTAAGTGATATCAGGACATGGGGGTCTCTCTGGGGTCAGGAGTGCCAGGAGCTGGGGGTTTCTTTGGAATGAGGGATGCCCGGAGCTGGGATTTTCTCTGGGGTAAGTGATACCAGGACGTGGGGGTCTCTTTGGGGTCAGGAGTGCCAGGAGCTGGGGGTTTATGTCCCCCCCTCAAGACCTGCTGAGGGATGTACCACTAGATGCACTGCAGAATGCCCCCCAGACCTGCTGAGGGATGTCCCCACCATGCCGTGGGGTGTCTCCCACAGACCTCTTGTGGGACATTCCCCGTACCTGCAGCAGGATGTCCCCCAGCCAGCTCTGGGATGTCCCCCTAGACCTGCAGCAGGATGTCCCCCAGCCTTCTGGAATGAGGGATGCCTGGAGCTGGGGTTTTCTCTGGGATAAGTGATAATCAGGTCGGGGAAAGGACAACCCCCAGGGCTTGGGGGTCTGTCCGGGATAAGTGACACCAGGATGTGGGGGTCTCTTTGGGGTGAGAAGGCTGGGGTCTCTCTGGACTAACTGATACCAGAGCTTGAGGGTCTCTCTAGGGTGAGCACTGCCAGGATACGGGGGTGTGTGTGTGTGTGTGTGTGTCTCTGCAGTGGATGGTACCAGGACCTGTGGGTCTCTGGGCTGAGGGATGCCACGGTGTGGGGTCTGTCACTCTGAGGTGAGAGATGCCTGGACCCGGCAGGAGGGTGTCTCCTCTCCAGGCTGGTCCCTGGGTGTGCAGACACTGCTGCTGCTTCTCTAGGGCTGGAGGCTGCCTCCCCACTCCAGCCCCCAGCCCCAGCTGCCCCCAAACCTGCCCCAGGAGGGCCGGGCTTGGTTGCACACCCCGATTTCCTCCAGCTCCTCCGGTCCTACCACTTACAGGGCAGGCACCGGTATCGCAATCATCACAAAATGCTTTTCTTTTGCCTTTTTATTTTATTTTTTTTTTTTTTCCTGAGTATGACTGTGCAGCGTTTTTTTTCCTCAACAGCCACCCGTTGCAAATGAGTCCTCTGTTGTTGTTGTTATTGTTGTTTTTAGGCTTGAGATTTACTTTGGTTGTGAAAATATTTTTTTTCCAAAGACGTTATTTAACCCAAAGGGTTGCATCACTCCTAAGTAAAATGATTTTTTTTTTTTTTTTTTAGTGTTTGCTTTGGATTAATAACCCAGCACTTGCATTCCTTCGAGAGCTTACATGTCTTTTGTAACCATCACAAGTTGTACTCGCAGCCGCCGATTACTCCATGGCTGTCCAGGCTCCCCATCCGGACTTCACCAAAGTCCATGAAACAGCTCGTAGGCATTTCTTGGGAGGTCAGATCAGTTCCCAGGACTGACTAATTATCAGAGCAGAGAGCGTGAAGGAATTTTTTTAATATTTGAGAATTTCCAGTTCCCTTTAAGTAGAATTATTTCCAGCAATGGAGGACCGGTTTATATAAGTCTCTTATTCAAGTTGTGGCTGCACCTTTAAAACATGTTTAATCCGTTAAATAAAGTAATTGTGAAACACTGAATAGTAGATCGAGGACAAAGTGGATTCAAAAAGTAAAAATAGATTAGAACTAGAAAACGTTACTTTATCAACTATTGCAGTACATTTCTGCTTAAACCACTTTGATGCATTTTTGGCTTCTGATGAACGGGCAAATCTCAGACAAAAGCTGACGTAGGTGTTCCCATCCCCGTCTTTTGAGCCTGAAAGGTGTTTTTCCTTTGCAATTTAAGGACTTGATTCAAACCTTCCTCACTTCAGCAGTGGTTCATGTGCTGCCTGGTGTTGGCTTTGAGCCGGCATTTCACCTGGGACTTTTTCCTCACGCTGAATTTTCAAAAAAAAAAGGTGTTTAAATGGGGTGCTGAAGAGAAATGTCCTTCATGTTGTGTCCTGTGAATATTAGGAGTAGCGGTATGAATTACACACTGGAGATAAGGTGTGGGCAGGAGCATTTGGGTGGAATATTTTCAGAACTTGTCATACATTTTTGGAAAGGGAGCCTTAAAAGTTCTGCCAGATGTAGGTGTGTGTGTGTGAGTTTTTAAAAGAAATAGTTTCAGATGTGTTTTAGATACCCTGGCTGGCTCGGATGTACTCAGACCTGTTGTGCAGCTGAGCGATGCTTTGCTCCGGGACCAGTCCCAGGGAGGTGGATGGGGTCTGAGATACAACTGAGATAGAAAGAGGGGGTCAGAAGCTGATGGGTGGGGAATAGCAGAGCCTGTGACTCCAGCTGAGCAGTGGATCCAGTGTGCTGGTGGCAGCCAAAATCACCAGACCTGCAGGTTTTTGTGACTAGGGCACAATTAGACCATTAGAGGGCTATTTTTAATTTTTTTTTTTTTTTTTTTTTTTTAAGAGAGGTTAGAAAGTAAACCTTATCTACCTGGCAGGCTGTAGCGGTAGTTTTATGACCATATTAGGCTTATAAGTAAATACTCTGTGTGGCTGGGCTCACCTGTAGCGTAGAGCTGGTGGCTTTGTTAAATGTGTGTTTAGGAGGAGTGCTGCTACTCCATTTAATGGCTTGACACTGATGCAACAGCTTTTTCCTAAACTGCTGCCTGATCTGTAAATACGTATTTTGATCTGGCTTCTGCTGCTGGAACTAGTGTAATATTTACCCAGTAGAGTACAGTCTAATGGCATTTATCATGTAAATCCCGAGGTAAGATCTGGAAGCTTTTTTCCTCAAGCGAATGTTTGTTCTGATATGGTCTTCCCCAGTGCTGTTTTCACCTTTTATGTACATTTTTTTACAAGTTGCCTCATTATATACTGCTGACCAGTGCCTTCGGTCTATCACTTCTGCTGTCAGACATTAGAAAAGTATTGAGTTCATTAAGCTTACCTTTGAGCTGTAATCAGAACCTTTAACTAGTGGAATTTCTCATTAGAAAAGGAGAAAGGAGACTGGGGTTTGTATTAAATTCATATAATAAAAAGTCTGATAAGCTTTTGGTTAAAAAAATAAGCAAAAGACGTGCAGTAACCTGTTTCCAAACCCTAACCATGTCAATTGCTCTTCATGGTTTCTGTTTTTTTTTAAAACATACCCAATAGTTTGCATTTTGATTTGTGCTTATCTAAGCTGTATTGGGTAAGTGGCTGAAATATTTTTCCGCCCCTCGGAGGGGGAATGCTACCACAGTAGCATTTTCTTGGATGTGGACACTTTATGCAAAGCTGTTTCTATTACAGGTTTAAGACCTCTTTTAGTTACATGTAACTCTAGATAACAACCACAGAATCCATATTTAAACTTCTATTTTAGCTATGTCCACTTGGACTCCTCTAATAAAACTATCAGGCATTTGTAAAGGCACTCAACCACAAGATATTATAATAAGAAACTAGAAGGAATAGTTACTTAAAAATCTTTAAATTAACGGATAATTTCCTATCTTGGCTTCTTCATAAGACAGGATTCCTGACTGTTTGGTGTGCTTGGTCCTTGTGCCTGCTTGGGCTCCCTCAGGCTCTGATCTGGGATGTGGCATGGTCCATCAGTGCTCAGAATTTGGGACTGTAAATAGCTGACAGTCCTGGATTTGGCCCTGAGGGGCTCTGTGTGTGATCATGGCTTTAAACATCCCGGGCTCAGCTCTGAAACGGGTCTGTATGTTCAGATCCATGGGAGACACAAGTATTGCGAATCTGCCTTAAATCTAGTTATTCAGCCTTAACGAGCCGTGATGACTTGTGGGGTGTCAGAGGCAGCTCTCGAGCATATTTGGAGTATATTTATTCTTCATGTTGTCTGCCTCGTGCTGTGTTGAACCCCAGGCCTGCGACCGAGACCAGCAGTGCGGAGGAGGGATGTGCTGCGCCGTCAGCCTCTGGATCCGCAGCCTGCGGATGTGCACGCCCATGGGAAATTTGGGAGAGGAGTGCCATCCTTTGAGTCACCGAGTGAGTACCTCACCTCAGGGGTGTGCAGTGGGGGGGACACTGAGTGACCAGAGCTGGCAGGGCAGAACCAACTAGGAATATACTGCGCTATACATCACTTTGGATAAAAACTATACGTGGTGAAAAGGCGGGGAAACATCCCCTGTGTTGCAACACCCAGGCATTTGCATCTGTATGGAGCTAGTGCTGGAGGTACCTACCTAAGGAAACACATTACTGTCAGAATTATGCTGAAGAGAACCCGAGGATGAAAGTAACACACGCTTCTCGGTTTGTTTCCTTATTAGTTTGTTGTTGCTGTTTCGCTTCGTTACACGGTTCAAACCAGCTCCCAAGCCCAGCCCTGCCCACGTGTGTGAGCAGGAGCAAACACCCCCCACCTCAGTGGAACTGGACAAGATCCCATCACAAGCATAAGAAGGTCACCAGCCGGGGTTGGGACACCTTGTGCATCCCTGCAGTGGGGTCCCTGCCACCAAACAGCAAAGTCCAGTTGCGGTCCAGAGGCTGGGAGCCACTGGTGCCTTCAAAAGCCACTGAGAAAGTGTTGACACACACCTGTACTTGAGAGAACTCACCACAGGCTCCCTTTGCTTCTATTCTACCTATTAATTTTGAATATATATGTGTATATATACAGCTATACACGCACATATATAACACTAGTTACTTATTAGTACATTATTATATGATACACTGCTATTAATATAATGATATTAGCAAACACATTTATTTAAGGATATGTAATTATGCATATTATATGTACGATGAAAAAGGCTGTTTATTTATAATACAAAAGATTGAATGGGATTTTTCCAAGGAGCTTGAGAACCTGGTAGTCTTCGGAGCCATCCTCAGGGAAGAGTATGGCCCAAGAGTCATCACATGGGAAAGATGCGACAGCAATAAATTGAGATTATAAATGTGCAGCTAGTTAGCTGCTTCTCTCACTGTCCCATCCAATGTCTGGTTTCTTGGCTCAGCACCTACCATTTATTTTCTCAGTTTTTGGAAGTTCAAGGCTCTGTTCTATTACAGTTAAATTTTTAAATATGCTGTGATATTTGGGACCCAATTCTCATTTTCACTATATAATGCAGCAGGTTTTTCTTGTAAGTGCTCTTTACATTAGCAGGAGTTACGGGATAAAATAAATTGTCTTCTAGGGGTTTTTTATGGGCTTATTCCTGTTGGGTAATAATTTATACTGTCTGATATATATTAAGCTAATTGCCTTCATAATTGCAACCAGAGAAGAAACCTGTCCACCCCGGACATGCAGTCATAGTCCCTGATGTTTATAAGCTTTATGAGGTTAATTTTAGATTTAGATTCCTCACCCCACTGCTCTTCATGACAAACACAGAGCGAATTGATTTATCGCAGGATGTGAAATCGGGTATTTTTAAGGATGGAGAGTTTACTCAGTGGTTCCTCTCCTCTAAATTGCCCTCAGCACCAAATCCTTTCATTTGCCTGCAGGTCAGGTACAAAGCAGGCACCACCATGGTCGTGCCACCGCCTGGAGATACCCTGGAGGAGATGGCTGGCGGTTGGGTTTCCACCATCTAGTTTCCTTCTCAGCAACTAGATGGCGTTGGCTTGATGCCGATAAGAGTCTCCGTTGGCATGGCAGAGGCAGGGTTTGCAGGCAGAGAGGCAGGGTTTGCAGGCAGGTGAGGTTTGGTGGGTCAGGAGACAGAGTTGGCAGCACTGGAGGGGTGGCTTCGCTGCCACCATGCACCTTGCACATAACCCCCTTGTCTCTCCCAGGAGTTCCCTTGTTCCCTTCTCACCCTCCAAGCCCCCATTGCCCTGTGCTCATTAAAACCCAGTGCTGGCGTGGCAAAGCATGTACCAGCTCAGCTGGCATCACCAGCGTGCAGAGCTGTCACCCGCTGTCCCCAGCCCGGTGTGTTAATAAGCCACGTCTTCAGCGTGGGAGTCCCTCTGAAAGGAACCTTTCCTTGCAGTGAATGTAACGTTTTGAATAAATCATTTGCACTGTCAGAGGGCTGAGAGGTACCTCTGAGTCAGCCTTGCCAGCCCGGGGAGCTCAGATTTTTAGGTTTTTCTGCAGCGCTGTGTGTGGGCACCCGGGAGGTGGGATTCCTGCGGGGACTCCCCAGCACCCACGGTTGGTGGCCTCTCTGCTCACGCCAGGACAGAGGGGCTGTGGTGGGTGGCACAGGGAAGCCCATGCTGTCCCTCGCTCTGGGACTGCTCTTGGGACGATGCTGGGCAGGGGTCCTCTAAATTGCCCTCAGCACCAAATCCTTTCATTTGCCTGCAGGTCAGGTACAAAGCAGGCACCACCATGGTCGTGCCACCGCCTGGAGATACCCTGGAGGAGATGGCTGGCGGTTGGGTTTCCACCATCTAGTTTCCTTCTCAGCAACTAGATGGCGTTGGCTTGATGCCGATAAGAGTCTCCGTTGGCATGGCAGAGGCAGGGTTTGCAGGCAGAGAGGCAGGGTTTGCAGGCAGGTGAGGTTTGGTGGGTCAGGAGACAGAGTTGGCAGCACTGGAGGGGTGGCTTCGCTGCCACCATGCACCTTGCACACAACCCCCTCGTCTCTCCCAGGAGTTCCCTTCTCACCTCCAAGCCCCCATTGCCCTGTGCTCATTAAAACCCAGTGCTGGCGTGGCAAAGCATGTACCAGCTCAGCTGGCATCACCAGCGTGCAGAGCTGTCACCCGCTGTCCCCAGCCCGGTGTGTTAATAAGCCACGTCTTCAGCGTGGGAGTCCCTCTGAAAGGAACCTTTCCTTGCAGTGAATGTAACGTTTTGAATAAATCATTTGCGCTGTCAGAGAGCTGAGAGGTACCTCTGAGTCAGCCTTGCCAGCCCGGGGAGCTCAGATTTTTAGGTTTTTCTGCAGCGCTGTGTGTGGGCACCCGGGAGGTGGGATTCCTGCGGGGACTCCCCAGCACCCACGGTTGGTGGCCTCTCTGCTCACGCCAGGACAGAGGGGCTGTGGTGGGTGGCACAGGGAAGCCCATGCTGTCCCTCGCTCTGGGACTGCTCTTGGGACGATGCTGGGCAGGGGGCTGGCACTAGCCCAGGGCGACGTGACCCCCTGCTCGCCCCTGCACCCAGTGGGGTGCCACTGGAGTCAGGCAGGTCCTTGGTGTGACGCAGGGGGGGACATGTGGGACATTCTGCCTTTGACTCTCTTAGAGAAAAATTGCCCACTGACACAAAGTGATCTCAGAATATTAAAATTGCAGGCTCAAAAGGTTGCCCAGAGATCAGGGAATGAGGGAATTAGGGCTGGCAGTGGTGGCAGCCTCTGTGCTTCCCTCACTGCATCCCGATGGATGCTCAGGGCACGCTGCCAGCCTGCAGCACTGTGGCTCCTGGCCACCCTGTCCCACCAGGCTGTCCTGCTTGGCTCATGTGCCGGTGGAGGCACATCTCCTGTGAAAGATGGAGCTTGTAATCAAGTCGTTAAAGAGTGTCAGTGTGTGTGTGCCCATCGTGGCCCAATTAAACTTGTTCAATGCAGCCCGGACGTGTGCTCCCTGCAACACAGCGTGGCCACAGGAGGGTGGGTGAAATGAGAAACCTCTGTCCTGTGGTGAGGGGATCCTCTCAGAGGGAGGTGAGGCCAGATGACCTCCAGAGATCACCTTCCAGCCTGAATTACCGGCTCCTGTGGTTCCTGGGCACTGCTTTGTGCCATACGGCAGCGCAGGAACCGGGGCCAGGGGAAACCCCTGCATGGTGACCACCACCAAACACTACCCTAAAGGCCAGTGTAGTTTCACAACAGATGCCTTTATGAAACAGGAGTAAATGCAGAACATGTGTCACAGATAGATTTACACAGCCACACAGACCATTACATTTTGCTCTCAGCTGTGGCGTAAGTGGGAAATACAAAGGGCTTGGCTTTGCCATCTGCTCTCCAGACCCTGTGGTTGCAGCTCGTGGGGTTCTCCTGCCGTGGAGGGAGGTGGGCAGCGTTCCCTGTATCCCTGCTTTTCAACCAAATCCATCCATCCCCAGCGCCGCCGTGCTCCCTGTCCCTGATGCCTGTGCTCTTTGTCCCCAGGTTCCCTTCTCCGGGCGCCGGATGCACCACACCTGCCCCTGTCTCCCCGGCCTGGCCTGCCTACGGACTTCTCCCACCAAGTTCAAATGTTTACCAGACTTCAGAAAAGAAGATGTGTTTTTTTAGCAGGAGCCGTTCTGTGCTAGAAAGAGCCACTCCATGTATTCTTTTTCTTCTTGTTGTTGTGACGAACAAGGTACTTGCCGGGGGAAACCCTTCACCATACACTTTCCTGCCTCACCAACATTCAACCTGAAGATGAGATACCGTGCTGTGGTGGCCAAGGTTTTCAGGGGGGACTCGTGGTGGCAGATGCTTTCATTTTTGGGGTGAGCAAAATGAGATTTGCTGAGGTGATGCTGCTCTCTGAGGGCGGGAGCTTAATGATTTCTGAACCGTCTCGTGGTCTTCGTGGTTCCAGCTTAACCCCAGAATGAAAACATCCCAGATTATTGTCAGGTTTGGAGAATTTTGGCCACATTTTCACACTTTGGAATGCCCGAATCGCACCAAGAGTTGCATAATTGCATAGTGTGAAGCATATGATGATTGCCAAAAAACTGTATTTACATTACATTTGGTATCTTTATTAATATAACTGTATTTGTAAGTTAGGCACATCTCTAGGGTAAAAGTTTAACCAATAGATGTAGTTTTTACACTTTTTAAAAGTGGCAGGTGGAACCAAAGCACTTCAATATTCAAAGCATTAGAAGATATTTTAGTATTCTAAGAGGAGAAGTTGTTGTTACTTGAGTTGGTGTAAAACTACCAGATCATCTCAAACTATGTATTAAGATGTAGTTTATATTAAAAAAAGGAACCCTGAAGTTTGTTGTAATGGGCTGCCTGACTTCTTGTATATGTATCAAATTTGCTGTGTAAAAATTCTGTATCAGAATAATGGTATATGATTTGATTTATTTTAATATTATAACATTATTTTGTCATTGTGGTTTTCCATTTTTATTGAGTGTAATCTGTTATCACATACTCGATCCACCCAAGCTAGCAGAGCTCCTCACGGGTAGCTTAGCAAAAGATTATATGCCTCTGGCTGCTTTTAGGGAAACTCAGCAGTTTACAAGGCATGAACTCCTCAACCATGCTGCAGTCTTAGACGGTGGAGGTATTTTGGTGTAGCTAATACGAGAGGTTTTTCTTGGCACATGCCTCAAAAGGATCAACTTTAACCTGGCAAACATATAATTTGTGGGTTTTCTATGAAATACCGTGCGACTTCATATTTACTTGTCAGTCCCTGGAGCTGGAATTCCAATAGTTTGTGTGAGTTTCACACATCTGTTGCTCTCAGACATGCAAACATATGCTGGAACTGGAAAAGTGAAGTCATTCATCATTCAACAAGCAGCGCTTTGCTGCTGATGACAACGAGGGGTTTGAGAGAAGTTAGCACACTCATATGAAAGCAAACACCTGTATTAGAGGACATGAGTAACGGCCCAGCAAGTTTACCAGGTACCTTCCACTGGGCTTCACGGCCTCCCTCAAGAGACAGGAAGGAACAACTGGATCTGCTCTTTGGCCAGATCCTTATGGATGCTGCACATGGTAGAGGAGCAAATATCATAAGACACAGGATTGCCTCCTTCCAGCTCTGAATAGCCCAATCCCAGGGCTCCTGCTCCAATATATTTATATATTGGAGTTTGTATATGGCAATACAGCAGCTGTGCAAGTGACAACAGACTCAGGTCTTGTAGGGAAAAAAAAAAAAGAAAGTCTGAGGCCAACAAAGAGTCATTTTATATGTGGTTTGAATTAATATGATCAAGTGCAAAGTGCCTGTATTAGATCTGAAGTCTTAGAGGGGCTCATCCTTAACCCAAAGGGCTGGATTGTGCTGGTGACAGACCAGTTCGTTTCCATGCTAATGCAGTGATCTGCAAGCACTACAGGAATTCCCATAATCTGGATTTAAAAACAAGCCCAAGACATGATCCTGCCTCTTAATAGCAGGGCTTCCCAGACACCCCGTGCATCCATGCAGTGTGAGTCTGCAGAGAAGAAACTCACTGGGGAGCCTGGGAGTTTATTTTCTGTCCATGTCTATCAGTATAAAATTAGCATAATACCATAGACTTAAATTTAAAATTAAAGGGAAAATTAAGAAGGAAAATAGAAGCAGCCCAAATGTGCATGTGTTCCATATCTTGCTCCATCCATTTTTTTTATGGAAACACATTGTGATGATGCTCAAAACAATGAACCACAGCATGAAACACCAGCCCTACTTCTCATCTCCCACTGGCATAAATCACCAGTGACTCCACTGAAGGTAATAATCCTGGTTTATGTCATTGTGAGTGGACAATTATATCTCATGACCGCCTTAGACCTGCCCAACTGAACTCCTAGGAGAGTTTATCAGACAAGAGCAGAGCAACTTCGTGGTTGTCATTTGTGCCAATTAACTTGTGGGATTAGGCATTTATCTGGGTAATGAGAACAGACCCAATTAAATGAGTTCAAAGTTCACACCACCTACAGGAGGTTGAAGGACTCATGTCCTGCAGATGCTCCTGGTCAGGACATTAGGAAGACATACCTTGGGAGAGACATTATCCTGTGCTTGTCCTCGGGGGACTTCCCCACACCTTCCCTGCTGCAGCCCGTCTGCCTGCAGCCGGAGAGCTAAAGGCAAAAACCTCACTGTCCTACATCCCCACTCTATTCACTTGGCAATCATTATTACCACGATTCCCCTTTTAGTAATTTAATTCTCATTAATTGATTCTCACAGTGGAGGGTAGTTGATTTGAGAGATCATTTTGGAAGGAAGATTAAGCTTTTGCATCCCAATTCTTTCCTAAACTCTGTCCTAATCAATTATCTTTTCTGCCATCCTAGGGGAGATTTCCTAACCCAACACACCTGCAAAGTGCCTTTAATTTCTTTCTGCAGTGGAAGGCGGGGGGAAAGCCCTTTATCTTTGCTTTACAGTGATAATAGATAAAAGAAATATGTCAAAATGTAAATGGCCATGCGTGCCCCTCTGCTTTTCCCTTGAGATGGGTTTTGACTTGGAGGGGCACAGCAAACTGGACTCAACTGAGTGCTGGAAAAGGTGGCCAGCCTTCAGCCAGCTCTGCCCTGCTTAGCGATGTGGTTTAATGATGGGTTTTGTTGCTCAGAGATACGGTTTAGTGATGGTTTTTATCAGTGTTAGGTTGATGGTTGGACTAGATGATCTGAAAGGTCCCTTCCAACCCAGACGATTCTATGATTCTGAGAGGTTTCCTGCAGCCCCCTGTGCTGCTCAGTTTGCCCCAGCATCACCCTGGTAATAATCCCAGGCCAGGAACAGCTTCCTCACCTGCCTGGGAGGAAGAAAAGGGGGCAGGCCCTTGCAGGAGGAATCAGATGAGAAAAGAGAACAAAACCCTTGCAGCCCTGGGAACACCTTTGTGAAAGGGAGCAGTCTCATTCTCCACACATAGCTTGTTAAGAGACAGCCAGTTTAAACACTTTCCTTTATTCATCCACTTAGGAGATCTGAGCCAACGTTTGGCTTAATTTAATTAATATTGAATTAATATTATTAATTATTAATAGAAACATGTGAATTAATGTTTAATATTATATTAATATTTATATTACAGACATGCTATAGAATAGTGATGATATCGCACCAGACTGTAGGAGTTCCCATGTCTGTTACCAGATTTTTGGGTTAGCAGAGAGACGTTTCAGGAAAGGACACCACCACATCTAATGAGCTGCTGTCTTAATTTGATTACATGCTTATTAGGAAAGGTGAAGCAAGGTGTTTTGGGTTTGCTGGTGCACAGCTGGCCGAGCAAGCACACACCTGTGAGCCTGGGGGGGCTGGAGGGAAAGCTCTGCTGGAGAAAACCCAGCTGCAGCTCAGCCTCATCTGCATCCTCCTGCCCACAATCCCCCCACCCTGGGAAATTTGGCCACTTTGAAAATAAATAGGTTAAAAAGGTCTTTAAGTTAGGGGGTGACATGAAATTAATTCTCTTGGTCATGTGGGAAATGGGACTCAGATCTCTATGGGTCCTGGGAGGCAGGTCACCCTATAGCCACAGCCTTGGTATAGCAGGACCACCTGAAGTGAGGCCACTTTATTTAAAGCTGAAGTTTGATCCTGGAGGCTGAGAGGAACCTATGGAGCATCATGTAACCTGTATGGGAATCTCTAAGGTAGGCAACAGGATTATGATTGGTTTTATTTATCTGACTGTAGATGTTAGACTTCTTGCTATGCAAAAATTCTCGTATGCTTATAATGCACCTTATCAGGAAGTACTGTGTTAATTAACTTTGTCAGCATAATGTACCATGATGATGTATGGTAACAGCAAGTACAACCAAGGACTGAGGTCCTCACTGATGACTCCCCTGCCCCAGTAGCTCTCTAATTTGTTATTACTGTGCAGATGGATATTCAAAAGAAACAGAAGGTGCTAAGAATCTCTTGATTTAAACAAGATGTCTCAGGAATTTGATCTTGACAATGTGTAACATGTTTTCCAGAAGGAATTAGAAAATTGCAGGAAGAGAAAAGGCTGTGCAAATACAAGAGGATTTTGATAATAGCAAAATCAATGTGCCCTTCTCTATTACATAGATATGAAATGCCAGCCCAGCAGGGGTATAGCTGCTAGACTAATCAATAATTCTGAGCACAGGAATGGAGATGAGTTTAATGCACATCAAACATACAGCAAATCACCTGTCATTTCTCAAGGAGAGTCTGGAGTGCGGGCAGACCCAGCCCAGTACAGTAGGAGACATCTCAATGATCTGCAGGGCAGATTCAGCTGCCTTGGGGGACGGTGGGAGCCTTTGGGCTGCTCTGCTCCCATCAGGGCTGGGAAAGGCTGAATGTGAGGGGCTGAAGCTGAGTAAGCCTGGTGTACTGAAGGGAGGGAGGGTGGATGGCAGCATGTTTCATGGCAAGGATTACAGTGCAGGGTAACAGCTAAGTGTGCAGGAATGAGCAATATAACCATATAGCACCCTTGTAAACACCCCCATGGCAGGGGTTTCCTGAAGGTCCAAGTGTAAGGCAGCTCAGCATGGGGGAAATGAATGCATGCCTAATGGAAAAATGACAGAAAAATCTCCTCTGCTAACCCCAATTTGCCTGGGGAAACTGGGTACATGTTAATTGTGTGCCAGGAGAGCCCAGAGCATCCCAGATCGATGCTCTTTTGTACCATGGCACCAGACATCATCATGTTACAGTCACATCCCAGTCCCCAGAAAGTTATGAATCCCATAGACCAGATAAAGCATGTGTCTGTACACAGTGTGTACCCACACCGCTGCAGCCTGAGCTATGCTGGGATGCAGAACTGTCCCAGCAGGTGGCATGGGACGGGTGGGCTGTAGCTGTGTCCCTGCCAGCACCCTGTGAGCACAGGGACCTCTCTGGGGTCCAGCATCACCCCCTGTGGGAATCCCACCCAGGCCTCCCGAGCCCCAGCACCCTGCCTCTGCCCCAGCATCACAGCACCTGGAAGGGATTAAATCTGGTTTTAAATGCGATAGGGCTCTGTTAATCCCAAGGCTGTAGCACAGTTCAGAAGCAGACTGAAAACATGGTCTTGTTCCAGCCAAGTGAGGAAGGCTAAGCCTTCTTTATTTACTTTTTTTACTTGTACATGTGAGCGCACTCGTGTCATTTCATGTAGACATTTGTGGGCTCTTCCAGCACGAAGGGGCAGCCACAGCTCTTGCTGCAGAGAGTCCACACACCAGCAAAGCTGCTATTAATTTCAGGGGGTGTGAAGCTGGGCCCACCCCTGATTAACTCCTCTAGGCTATGCTGGAGCCCAGGCAGCAGAGTGCATCTCCAACACCTTCCATTGGACGTGCTGGAAAGGCCAGCCCAGGGAGAGAGAGGCAC